TAACATTTATGATTCCAGGTGTCATTTGAATACAAACTGTTTTAGAGGAGTGCGGGATTGACCCTATGTGTATTTTAACACAGGTAGGTCTTGATTCGTGCGGTTCATGAATTCCACGAAACAGTCACATTATTCAAATTCGCACTCTTCAAAGTGATATTTCCATGGAAAATAGGGTAACTGGTTCCAGCTCGATGGAAATAGGCAATGGAAATGTATAAACATAAATTTTCATATGTATGTTAATGAAATATTACAGTAAAGGATGAAAAGACTATAACAAAATCATAGTGTTAAACTTGTACTGCTTTCCTTGGACGGAATCTTCCTTTTTCTCCATTTTGCTCACATGAAGGTTTGCGGCGTCTAAAATCCCAGTTGCAATTGTACACACGCTAGCCTTGCACTAACTGAATTTTGTTAATTAAACATGACCTGGTTTAATTATTTGAACGTGACCTGTTTGAATAATGCAATATCTGATTTAGTGCAAATTGTAGACTGATGTCTACAATTTGCACTAAATTGGATATTGCATTATTTTTATTTATTCATCGTGTTTATATAGCCGCCCATCTCACACACAGTGACTCATTATTATTCGTTATTATACGCACTAATTGTGACCTACCTGTACGTACATTATTGATTTCAGCATCAATTTCTGATTTCTGAGGATCCTTTGAGCAGCTTGTAACAGAAGGGGACAAACAGGATTAAAAATTCACAAACCAAACTATAAATGATAGATGTCCAGCTAAGCCAAGGCACCACCCCTTGGGGATAGCATGAGGTTCAGTTGGTCCCTGAATGTGTTTCCGAAAAGCTGTCCTTTCCCAGTTCTTCAGAAATATGAGGAGGAAAGGTGGTCTAGCTATCCTAGCAGCAGTTTGTTCCAAAAGAATAATGCCAATTGCCTAGAACCATGTGAATGTGGTATTCATAAATCACAAATATTTATACAATTTTTTATAAACATATGTGATAAATAAATGCTTGCTCCAGCTTTGTGTTCTGATAAATGGTAAGAGAGCTTATAGTAATTACAAAAATAGAAAATGTAGTAATTAAAACCAAGCAGAAAATGATTATCATTGGTTGGTGCTCCTGCTAATTAGTCTGATTCAGTTAGGCTCGGAGCCATCGGCCGTTGGCAGCTGCTGCCAGTCTTTCATTGCAGGCAGGCATTGTACGGTCCCTATCCCTTGCATGGGTTAGGGCAGTGGTTCTTAAACTAGGGGTAATTAGGGTGTATCCTGGGGATAATGGAGCAATTTGTAATGAGTTGTAATTGTTGGTGAGTTGAGGATCAGTTTGGGATTGCCATTGCCAAGATGCTTGTGAAAAACTACAAACCCCCCCCCCCGTTTTTGTGGGGGTTATGACATTATTCGAGACCAGGAAAAGAGGTAATTGGGTCATTCGGTTAAAGAACCGCTGGGTTAGGGGGTTAGCTTTCCCACTTGGCTTGAGTAACATCACACTAGTGTGGATGCAAGGATTTTTTTAAACAGTGTCTCCTCCTTTCCCCAGACCTGCCAAGATGTCTGGGCACAGCTGGAGCCAGAAGACGAAAGCAAGGGAGGAGGAGGAGGAGGAGGAGGAGGAAGAGGAGGACCCTTTAGACCAGATGATCCAGCGCACTGGTTGCGCCAGTTTCCACTACGCTGTGCTGGAGTGCATGGCAGAGCACCAGGACTGGCGGAAGTGCCAGGAGCAGGTGCAGAGCTTTAGGACCTGCATGGCAGAACATCAGAAGCAGAGAGTGGAAGAGATGCAGAGGAGGCAGAAGCTGCACCGGACCACCAGCTGACCGAAGGGAAGAGAAGCAGGGAACTTGCCTGCTGGACTGGAAGGCTGCAGAGCAGCTAGAGCCCAGCAGTGCTGGTCCTTGACAAAGCTGCCACCGATTCAGAAATGTAGAAAGAGTCTGATTTTTGTAGACGAAGATGTGTATACTGTCATTACATGCTATTAACGTGGCATGACATTCTTTTTGCTTTTAACAGGAAAAATGTGAAGTTTCCTGCCAAAATGAATGGAGTACTCTCTCTTTTTCCTTCATCATTTGAGGTATTGGCAATGTATTCCCATTCTGGGCAGCTCCCAGCATTCCTCAGCCAGCATGGCCACTGCTGAGAATTCTGGGAGTTGAAGTCCACCAATCTAGAAATTGCCCAAGTTGGAAAAAACAGCATTAAGTCTTCTCCAGTCTGATACCCAGTGTTCTGAGTTCACATGGTGTACTGAACCAAGTCACCTGGCCTGGATTTACATTACGTGCTAGTTTCAAATGTAATTAACATTTATGATTCCAGGTGTCATTTGAATACAATCACTCTTGTGTTACCTGTGCTTCCACCTGACTGTAAAGATTTGAGTAGCCATTTGGATTGGAGCAGGTGATTTCAAGAAGGTTTATTTAACCTCAGCTTGGGAAGCTGTTTTCTATTCCTGGTTACACAGAAACCACTACATGCTGTAATAATATCACAGAAATGTTTCAGCAGAGTTAGTTTTTCTAGGAAACAGATCAACGTTCACCAGGTCAGGAAAGTTGCACTGAGGGTGGTTTGAACTGATGAAAGGTATGATGAGCCATAATGTCTCACTGCAGTTTGGCACGAAGCTCATCAAGTTCTGTGCGAATCTTCAATCGAATTCTGAAATCCTCCTCTGTGTGCTGAAGGAAGGAAACAAACCGACCATTAGGATCTGACACAATGCTAAATCATGGTTGCTTAAGAAAGTTACAAAATCTTTGTACCAGCCAAGATTTAGATCACCTAAACAATGGTTTATAAAACACTGGCTGGATTTGCACAATAGGTTCAGCTTAAAATGAAACAATCCACACTATGAATCCAGCGACAATCCTTAATGTCAGGGGTTTTCAAAATGAGTTCCACAGAATTCTAGGATTCCATGGGAACTTGATGGAGTTCCATGGGAGTCTAAGGGCAAGGCAAAAAGTTCCAGGAAATTTTTAATTAACAGGTTTTGCAATCTGGAAATGGTTTGAAAAACCCTGATTTACATAATACACTAAGCCACAATGTACATTTAGTTTTGGCTTGGGCTGAGCTATCCAGGTTAGTTTATGTGAATCCCACTCCTGATGGATGATAGGGCAGTAAATACCAATTAGGTGAGTGAGAAGGGGAAAGATGCTAATAGCGTGATGTTCCTGTCCTGAACTCAACAGCGATTCCTGATTTGGGGGAATTCTAATGCTACGGTAAATCCTTGTACATAGGGGGATGATTTAATGTAACATCTGTCTCCTTTTGAGAGTTTAGGGGAGGGTGGCCTATAGATGCCATTCTGATAAATACCGCAGTGGTCGTGTTCTGTTGCAAATAGGAAAAACAGAGACGATAATGTGTCTTTGAAACTACAAATGCTTCCAAGGCAACCCAAGATCTACAAGTGCTTCTCTACACTAAAAGAATTTAAGTACCCTGGATTCCCAGGAAATAGATAACAAGTAGGCTGCTTTGAAGTTGGCTTTGCTCCTAGATAGTGAAACAATGAATTCCTCTGATAAGGCTATGTTAAATCTGCCTCTCTTCCAACCAGGAACCATGCAAATGGGGCAGGAGGTGCCAGTCAGCAGAACCAAAGTATCTGGTGGGCTGCTGACCCTCTTCCCTCTAAAGCCGTGTTTCTCAACCTCAGCAACTGTAGGATGTATGGACTTCAACTCCCAGAATTCCCCAGCCAGCATGGGGATTCTGGGAGTTGAAGTCCACACATCTGAAAGTTGCAGGTGTGGGAAACACTGCTCCAAAGGAACTTCCCGGTTGAACAGCTCCTTCCCCCAAGCTCTTCAGCCAGCCCTCTCCTCAGCTGTAGCTCTCCTGCAAGGTGCTGCCTGGGATTTATGCCTGATGGGGCATCGATTAAGAACTGACAGGAGGACAGGAAAAGCCATTAAGCCTCTGGGTCTGGAGGGGGGGAAAGAAAATGTCCACTAGGTGGAAATTATCCCAGCAAACTCCCCCAAGCTGCAGTTGTGCCAACAGTGAGTACCGCATCGGGAGACCCAGAGCAGCCTAACCAAAGCTGTATCCTCCAGCTGTTCTGGGCCTGCAGCTCACAGCACAGGATTGCCCTGGAGATGTCCTGGTTGAAACTCTGACAAAGAAGGAGCTGCACAGAGAGGATTTCTTACAAGCATGAGAAAGTTCTCATGAAACAGCTTTCAGGGGTTTCCATCAGATGCATTTCACTGGAGACCAGTGAAGGGTTTTTGGGGGCCCTGGACGTTTTGTTTCAAGGGAGGGTCCCAAGAAAAGTGCCCTCCAATTGCACTCTGAGCTAGGTGTCAAATGCAGGGAGATCCTTGCAGTGCAGGTCAATGTGGGCCAGGGTGGGGTATATGGGAATATAATGGTATATGGGAATGGCCTCAGGTGATGGGGAAGAGCCACAGCCAGGGAAACGGTCAGATAAAAGGATGCTGAGCCCGCAGCAGGAATGTGGACATGACAAATGTCTCAAAAGGGACCTTCCCTAGTTTTCTGGAGCTGTAAAGGCAACAGGGAGAAATGTCCTCTTAGACTTGCAAGACTGATGTCAGCCTTGCAAGGTAGTCCAGACAGGAAGCACCCCCAGATGAACTAATTCTACTTTATTGTAAAGTTACATTAACAGAATCTTGCAAGCCTGAAAGAAAGTCTCTCCCCTCTCGCCTTTACAGTCTGAGAAACTAGGGCGGGTCCCTTCTGAGATGTTTGCCATGCCTCATTCCTGCTGTGGGCTCAGCGGCCTCATATCAGACTGTTTCCCTGACTGTGACTCTTCCCATCTCCCGAGGTCAGTCTCACATACCATTACAAGTAGTGGGGAAGGTGCTTGGCTAGGAGTGGAGAAGCCCAAATTCTGCTTCTCCCTCGGCCATGGAGGGTCCCTGTGAGATCTTGGGCCAGTCACTCTTTCAGCCCAACGTACGTGACAGGGTTTTCGGTGGGAAAAAGAGGAGAAGCAAGATCTGTGTACTCTGCCTTGAACTGTTACAAAAGGATATGAATCTAATAAATATATATTCTGAGCTAAAATGCCTCTGATGGAAACCTTCCGATGGAACGTGCCCTCATGCCAATATCAATCTCTTAAATGCGGGGAATATATATATGCTTCATGGGCACACAAACACAAATCTTGGTGCATGTCTAAACCCAAGATCCACATTGCTAAATACTTTTCCAGCCATGCAGAAACCACAAAAAAAATTCGTAGTTCCTTAAGAGACAAATTTATTGTGACAAGCTCGCATATACCTAACAAAGGGCACTGTGGCCCATGAAAACAGGTTTACTTTATTCAAAGTAAATTGAATTTGAGGTTTACTTCATTCAAAGTTAGTAAACCTGTCCTTAAGATTTTTGTTAATTTTCTTCTAAATGTAAATGTTTCAGTAAGAATCCACATACCTCTTTCACTAACAGATGGACTCCTTCGGGCAGGTTATTCTGAATGATTTCCAAGAAAATAGGACTAAACGTGGCACTCAGATGTTTAATCTGGAGAAGAGAAGGAGAATCACTTCAGAGGAAAAGAGAAAACAAAAATGCAAAGCTGGGCAGATTATTGTGACCTACTGATTTATCTGTCAAATTTTTAGACCACCAAATTTACAAAAGATTCCCCATGGTTTCTGTTTCAAAACATCATACAAAAGTCAACCCAAATTAAGACGTCCACAGGAAAACACTGCTAGATTATTAACATAAAAATAATAAAACAATACCAAGAGCAACAACAGATGGCCTCCATCAGGTTCCTTTTAGAGAAGGAATCCATTTCCAGCACAGAGATCAGAGGCACAACATAAAACTAGAGGTCTGACTAATTAAGAAGTGGTTTCTTTGCTTGTCATGTTCATTATCCATTTTCTCCCCAAGTTCCCATTTTGCATTCCTCCAATATTTATTGAATTCCACACCTGGGTAGAGATTGGTGGATCTCTTCCCATGGTCTCCCTTTCTAACAGCCTCCATCGGTAAACTGGGCAAGGAAAGTTCATTCATTCTACTTCTGTCAGCCTTTTCAGGTAGGCCAGGTCAGGAAACAGACTCCAGATTGATTGGAACTCTATAGTAATGGGCTAGAGTAGTATTTCTCAACCTTGGCAATTTGAAGATGGGGGAACTTCAACCTGGATGGTCATCTGGCAGAGATGTGTATCACCATTAGAATTAAGGTAAAGAGGCCCTTGATTGCAACTCTCAAACTGAGGTGGTTCCTGCTTTTGGAGCACAAGATGAGCCTTTAACAAAAGCATTGTCCTTTCAGCTTCAATACTCTTGCTTTGTGGGCATTCAGGAGATCTCAACAAAGAAGCTGGAGGACTGTTGACAGACATCTTGCCATTGCACTATTTTGGAAAATAAAACTACAAAGGCAGCCTACCTGAACAACACGCTGGTGGCTTGTAAGGACGGCGTCCACCCGCATTTTGTTGTCCTGTTCCCCGGTCAACATCAGCTCCATAGTTTTTGTGGGCAAAGCATAGCTGGGGGACCATCAACAGGAGAGAAGCAGAGTGAGATATGGAGGGGAAACTATTTTTTCACTGTTTGAATGAACTTTCAGCCTCGGGGACAAAGCTTGCAAGAGACTCTTCCCAACAAAGCAGGGCTGCCAACTAAATTGGCTGGGGTCCTTCGAAGTACATGGCTGCTTTCATTCATGAGCCCAGGTTACACTCAACTCCTACCCACAGATGGGAAAAACTGGCACTGAAGATGGATATTGTCAAACTCAGCAAAAAACACTTTATCAGGTGTGCCCTAAAGCTTTGGTGGGGGGGTTTACTGAAAAAGAAACAAATAGATTTCTTTTTAAGGTAACAAATGTACTGCAGCACTCCTGAGCGATGGTTTGGCTTGGCACGATCTCAGGAGATCTGACAGAAATCCAGGATCAGCCAGTCCTGGGTGAACTTCAACCATCAGAGCTGAATGCTGCAATTGGTTTACATGGTGCAAATTTGCTTTATTTCTACTTAGGTAAGATGGCCAACTACAACAGAGAGGCAGGAGACAGAACATGAACCTGACTGGGAATAAACAGGCTTCCTTATTCTCTTGCTGGTCTGTGGGCAGCCCTTAGCTCATTCTATGCACTTTTGAAAAGGTAATCTTGTTCCAAATATTGGAACAAAGCCATTTCTGCTATTCAGTCTGATCTATTGCACTGCATCGGTAAGAGCAGTATGAGGTAGTGGTGAAGTCGTTGGATTGGGACTGGACAGACCAGATTTTAGTCCGCCCTCTGCCGTGGCAGCCCCCTGTGGAGACTCGGACAGTCACACTCTCTTAGCTCAACCTATCTCTCACAGTTGCTGCTGTTATGGGGGTAAAATGAAACAAGATCTCCATGTAAGGAGCACTGAGCTCTTGGAGAAAGGTGGGATAGAAACCTAACAAATCAATAAAATAAATCTGATTTGAAAGGCTGCTCCTGGTATTTGCCAAGAGCCGCAGCAAAGGCATACCACGCCTATGTGGTCCTTTAGCCCTTCGGGTGAAATGACACAGTCAGAAAATACCCAAGTCACATGGAGATTAGCCCCGCAACTCTCCGGCAAGGATTTCTTAATGGCAAGTAATCTCTTCACATGCCAAGCCTCTCACCTTTCTACCACCCTGATGGACACCTTGTTGCAGAGCCTATGAACATACTGAGCATAATGCTCTACCAGACTGACGTCATAGCCAGTCACCACAATGTTCAAGCTTCCGTACGTGTGTTCTGTGCCAGGATCAATTTCCTTCATTTCTACGTGATTCTTCCTTTTCTTAGGGGCCTGGGAAAAAGAGAGCAGAGTTTAAGAGCTGGGAGCTTTGGCAAACATCAAAGTTCTTTTTCTTAACTCAAAACCTAAGCCTTATATGCACAGCCAGAGTTAGGACACCAAACTCTGAATATACGTCTCTGCCCTGCCTTCTGCAGGTGGGGACAGAATCTAGCTCAGAAAAACAAGCACATGGGACAACACAGAAAACACTATGGAGAGCAGAAGGCTGCGATGGAGGCTCTTCTTTCCCCCCACACTTGTTAAGTTTCCCTTTACTGCATGATGAAAAGGATAATTTTAAGTTACAACTACTTTGGAATGTCAGTTCTAAGATGCAAGAAATTTCTAATCCCTGTCATGGCTTTGCTAAGGAACCAAATACAATAGTCCCCTTCTAACCCAGAGAGCCCTCAGCTGATAGTCTTGTCCATCTAGAATCTGTCTTTAAGAAGCTACAGAATCAGGAAAGCCTGAGATTTGAAATGCTCACCTCTGGGGGAAGGAGATGTCTGTACCGGCCAATACCATGGGTGGGCTGGGATCTGTAGTGTCTTTGAAAGTTCTGCTGTAGGCTGCCTTTAAGAGAGAAAAAAAAAAATACAGAAAACTTTGAAGGTCTAGAGCAGTGTTTCTCAACCTTGGTAACTTTAAGATATGTGGACTTCAACTCCCAGAATTCTGGAGGTTGAAGTCCACATATCTTAAAGTTACCAAGGTTGAGAAACACTGCTCTAGACCTTCAAAGTTTTCTGTATTTTTTTTTTTCTCTCTTAAAGGCAGCCTACAGCAGAACTCTCAAAGACACTACAGATCCCAGCCCACCCATGGTATTGGCCGGTACAGACATCTCCTTCCTGTAGGCTGCCTTTAAGAGAGAAAAAAAAAAATACAGAAAACTTTGAAGGTCTAGAGCAGTGTTTCTCAACCTTGGTAACTTTAAGATATGTGGACTTCAACTCCCAGAATTCCCCAGCCAGCATGAGATGCATGGACTTCAACTCCCAGAATTCTGGAGGTTGAAGTCCACATATCTTAAAGTGGCTGACGTTGAGAAACGCTGGTCTAGAAATTCTACTTCTGAAGTAGCAATGGCAGATATTTCTCCATGCAAATTTAGTTCAGCTTAATCTATTTTTCAAATTCTGTTCTAAGTAGTCTAGGGCAGCACAACTGGTTGGGCTCAACGGTACTAAGCCATAAACCATGGTTTACCAACCACAGTGGCTGCTTCACGGATCACGCAATGCCAAAACAAACTGCATAACAATTTAGCATAGGAGAACTCAACCATAGTCTAATCTGATAGAATCCAACTTCCTAAATAACAGAGTGATCAAGTTATTTAGTTTAACTAGCCCTTAATTCATGGCAGGCTTACTTGGATGTAACCTCATTGAGTTCTATAGAGCTTCTTTGCAAGTAAATGTACACAGGATTTATATAATGTACAGTAGCCAAGAGAAGGTACTAGAGGAGAAAATACTGGCCTTTCCTAGAGATACCCAATCAGACTACTCTGCAAAACAAGACTCTGAACTTGGGACTCAATCTGTAGTTGGTTTCAGCAGGTCTCATCTTATATTTTTAGGAAGGCAAATACAAAATGGGAAGGATATAACAATATTAGGTTATATTGTTATATCCTTCCCATTTTGTGTTTGCCTTCCTAAAAATATGAGACCTGCAATCCTATTACTGGATTATTTATATTAACACTTCTCAGGTTATTATGTTATTTTATACAGAGTAAGGTTAGGGTGCGATCCCCACATCTGTTGGAGCAACTGCAGTAGCTACGAAGTATGGGGGTTCTAATCCAGCATGTCAAAGGGAACAGACTGGGGAAGGCTGGTTTAGTACATCTGAAACATTTT